ACTCAGTTCCTTCAGACCTCCCAGTCACACGCACTCAGTTCCTTCAGACCTCCCAGTCACACGCACTCAGTTCCTTCAGACCTCCCAGTCACACGCACTCAGTTCCTTCAGACCTTCAGACGGGGGGGGATTTGTTTCGCTGCTGAGCTTTCGCGGCACCAGGCCAAAGCCAAGCTCTTCAGTTCCCTCACCCGGGTAGACGAGGAGTTACGTCAGAAGGCCGCGGACGTGGACGCCGAGCAGGCGAGTGGGGAGAGAGCGAGGAGTGGAGTGGTCGGGCTGGAAGTCTTCCAACAGAGGTGGACAGTGACCTGGACTAGGGTACCTATGGGATAGTCTAGTTAGGGTTCTTCAACCTCTGTTGGTTGGTCCCATCTTGCGGGTGGAAAGATCACAGGAAAGAAGAGGTCGCTTGGAGAAAGGGTCACAGATGTGCTCCGCTGCTTTGAACAAATGGGGAGCCTACGAAACTCCTAGGTCCAAGAGTCCAAGAGTCACTGGCTGGGGTGAGTGCTCAGAAAATCCACTGCACGGGACGAGCCACACCACCCAACTCCATGTGACTCCTGTGTCCTACACTTCAGATGTATTTCGAAGTATATACCTAGATCTTCCAACTATGCAATATGTATGCCTTTTAGTGCACAAAACCAGCCAAAAGGCATAAATTTTGCATAGTTGCAAAACCTAGGTGTATATTAATTATATATATATATATCTGTGCGTGTTTATAGTGAAGTTCTGTTCAATGCCTCGAGTCACCTGCCAGATCCGGTTTTAGAACTCACACGATGGCGGGAGCGGGATTTCGAACGGTCATGGCGGGAGGAGGGCTTCTACATCGGGTTCAGATGTTCAGCATGTTCGGCCAGATCCGGAAGACGTAGCGTCCGGGAGTCGGATGTCCGGCCAGCCGGCCGAGGGTTGAGGGTTGATGATCATCTCCAGATGCCGCTGGCACGCCTGGAGAAGGTAAAGCCACGCATTAGGTGCCAAGTGACAAGGGGGTGTTCTTTATCGAACGTCAACATGACAGATTCTTAGGGCGTGTCCCATTACCTATACATTGAAAAAGGTAGTTACGAACCATTTTCATCCACTGAAACCTGGGAATGGGATTGATTGGTATAAGTATATACTTTACCCAATTCTCCCCAGGTCAACCACCCCAATATAAATTATGTCACATAGAGTCTTTGCCTGTTCACCTCCAGCGAAACTCCGTAACTCCGCTCATCTAGGCCAAAGCCAACCGCCGGCAACGAGACGAAAGCGAAGACGTGGGTGGCCTGACACGAGACGCGCAGACGTTGGCGTCCAGTCACACAGGTTTTGCCCAGGTGTGCCGTGGTGCAGACACGACCACCGTCCCCTGGATCACTTTTGGTGACCTCTTTATACCTCATTTGGGGTCAGAAAAACACTCATTCTGAGGTGTTGAGGACTAGACCTGGGTCTGACTATGTTAAGCTCAAGCCTGCATACTGATGTACTTTTGACACCAAGACCGATGACCTCCCCGGAAGAGGGAGCATCGACCACTCCTACTTGGGAACCCAAGCCGTGCTTGGGGTGGCCAAGTCTCCCCATTTAAAGTCACACCAACTCATAACCCAATAGGAAATGGCAGTTTTTTGGGGTGGCGGGTAGTCCCAAGGTCACTCAGGTTCCTGTCAAAAATGCACCAGCCTCCATAAAGACAATTTAGAAAGACTCGTTGACCTGGTTTTGTAGTCTACAATCCTTATGTTTACTTTAAAAAACAGTTCCGTGGGTAAAACGACCATCAAACTATCGTGGGGGGGGCCAGGAATCGTGGGGGGCCTTAGTTTGCCTGTAGGCATGTGGATGTTCGCAAGCACCACATGCCTTGAATCTGTGGGTGTCCAGTGGGCAAGTGAGCCGTTCGGGCACCAGTGCTTCATACAATTGGTATATGGCGATGTGAATTATCCCAGATCGTCCATGGGACTGCAATATTTTCCGCCCCATTCCCATTCACCCTGAAAAGACATCTCAACATTACCATCCACGGGATGGCCAATCTCCCAGTCCCGTGGATGGGCCTTGGGCGCCCATATCCCATGTCCAGGCCAAAACTTCTTTCAACGCTTGGTCTCCCACGTGGCCTTCGACCTCTTTTTTGCCGTGGCCATCTTGGTGAATGCCATTTTCATTGGGGTGGAGGCCACGGGCTGGAGGAGTCAGCCGTTCACACAGCCTTTGCACCGGGACTCCGCGATACCCTTGTTCCGAGCAGGTGGAGCATGTCAGGTCGACTGGAGGTCCGCTGAAATCATCCCAGCGCCAGCGTACGGACATAGACTTTCAGCTTGATGATGTGGAAACATTTCGGATGTATAGTAGAATATATATATATAGTCTATATTATATTATAGCATATTTTAGCATAGGCGTTTCTCAAAAGAAGTGACGAACCTCGACATTACTGTCAGATCCTTGTCCATATTTACCTCTCTTCTCTCTCCCTGCATCCGTCCACCACAGAGGATGGTCAAAGCCACCCGAAGCTGCGTATATACAGTATGGTTATTAAGTTGCTCCATGTAGTTGTTCCTCCACCAAGACCATGGGTCTTTCGGTCACCTGAAATGGATCCCGACATATATATATATATATTAATTCACTCTACACTGTACTTTGGTGCCAAAGATCGTTTTTCACTGGACTTCTAGGCCGATTCTCTATATACTGTGTTAAGTGAAGTTGCTCAGAATCGTTTCAAGCTTCACTGAAGTTTCATGTTTTGAACGCGAACCTGAGCAGTCTATAGTTGCGCAGGAGGTAACCACTAGCTAACTGAAGTTTCATGGTTCGCGTGGTGACCTGCTGTGAAAACCACCGTCCACCGCTCCATTTCTCAGGTGCAGGCTCAGCTGTTGAACTCCGACCAGGCGGTCCTCACGTCGCCCCTCAGAGCGAAAAACGTCCGACCGGAGAACCTGAAGTGTTTTGGGGAGTTCAGAGGGGGACATCCCACTCAAAAGCAATCCATGTAAGCCGAATGAGGTGAATATATATAATATATATATTATATATATATGGCCTACATTCAGCATCCGAAACCGCCCAAATGTAGACCATATTCGTGCAGATAGAGCGTTTGGGAAGAGGTGGTTCAGTTCAAGGAGAAGTCACTCTCATCATGGCTATCATGGTTAGTGAAAACCACGTTTGTTTGGTATGAGGATCATCCAATTGTGGGCAATGTCTTCCTTCCATGATGATTCCAGTCATGGGATATTCTCAGGCCTTTCTTTATATCGTGACGTCCACACTGTTTCATGAGCGTGCTTTGCCCCACCACATTCCCAACACAACGACGTCCACACTGGCTCCGATGTTTCCTTTCCGAGACAAATCCGTCGAGCCACACCAAGGGTACATGTCATTGGCAAGACTTTCACAGTGATTTTCCTCATCGAGTTGATTCTGCGGATGCTGGCGCAAGGACGTCACTTTTGTTCCACGACGCTGGTACTGCCAGGAGGGAACTGCCAGGAGAAAGCGGGCGTTTCAAGTGGCCAACCATGCTTCAGGGGAAAGCATTCGACAGTCAACAACGTGCGTTCAAGCAAGTGCTGTCCAGAGAGTCTACCCATCGCATTGCCGGTGAAACAACTGAAGGCGGTCTAAGAACTGAGCCCCGCCACCAAAACGAACATGGACAGTAGGATGGACATACGAACATGGACAATAGGATGGACATAAGCCTTGTAGAAGCAAAGCCCCGTAGAGACATAGGCGCTATTTGTCCATGTTCCCGGTGAGTTGGTTGGGAGCCTTCCTAGCCTTCCAAGACCATGTTACTCGTCAAGCTTGACCTGGTGTCGCCTCAAAATCCTTTGCCTTTTTCAATGGGGGCTTCGGTAGGTCACCCATGAAATCAAGGGCAATTGGAATCCTAGGCCCCAGCAATGCGACCCTGGACCGGAGGGGTCTACGGTCTCTCCAGGCCGGCTGTTCTGTCGGAAAGCCTCCGGAACCAAACCGCCGACGTCGACCAACACCGATCACCGGGACTGGAAGGGGTGGAGCGAACGTCGCAGTGGGAAGAACGTCGGTCGCCGACGTTTTGGTGCGCGCGGAACGTTCGCTGAGGACGAATGAGGACTGGAGGTGGAACCTGCTGGACACGATCATTGTGTTGGCCTCCCTTTGGGATGTTGGCTTGGAACCTTGGGCGGTTGGTTCCTTTCGCTTCGTTCTGCGCAACCAAAGGAAGGTGCGGTCACGGAAGGCTCAGAGCCAGGTCACGGAAGCACAGGACATGGGTGGTCATGTGACATGTGTGTAGCGAACGAACTAGAACCAACGCCAGGGCCAAGGTCTTTCTTTTGGGGGAGGGGTTCAAGACGTATTTCTAACATGTTCACCATTGGTTTGGCATGTTAGAAATAAACAGACCATCCTTAGGAAGCCTTATTTTCGAAGTATACAGTGTTTCACCATCTCTTTGCAGCATCCGCTCGGTCCGTCGACCATCCAGCATCCCGGACCCTCGGAGGGTCCTCCAACCGAGCGGACAAGGGACAGGACCATCCCCGAAAGCACGGACAGCATCCGTTCGGTCCGATGGCCCTTCCTCTCACACTGGCTTCTGGACCACGGACTTTGAGTGTTTCATGCCACCCAGAAAGAAGCTGGTGGGTACTTGGACCAGGCACTTGAACCACCCAGTTGAAGATGGTGATTGGATGGAGCCTAATTAGTCAAGGGGGGTCTCTACCAAATTCTATCAATCACCCGAGCTGGTGAGTACTGGTGGAACGTGTAGTGACAGAAGTCGCCGCGAGACGCGTAGCTACGAGCTTTACCAGCGTCCACGCGTCAAGTGGAGCGATTCGTCCATCTTTCAGAACACCTGAAGAGGCTCAACAAAAAGGGCTCATCAGGTGTTCTAGGATCACTCCCTAGGGATCCAGTCGTACCTTCTCAGGTACGGCACGACTGGACCCTCCTGGCACCCACCCCAGTCCCACCTTCTGAGAAGGTACGACTGGATCCCTAGGGACTTGCGGAAACACCATCAATATCTTCAAGCAGACCAAGCAAGCCTAGCAACCCTCAAGTGTCAAAGCAGTAGATCAGTAGATCAACAAAGCCCATATGTGAGTCCACAAGCTGACGTGAGAACACCATAGAACCAATAGCAAGTGGAATGTTCACGCATAGGGAAACAATGGGAAACATAGAACTGTACGCGTCCGCCAGTCCGTTCGAGCATGCAAACAGTTCGGTCTGTAATCCCTGGCGTTTTAGTCAACAATTTCTTATCAAAACAATGGTTGTGCTGGTGCAAGCATGTACATTGTATGGTTTTATGTTTTAAACACATTGTATAAATCGTGGGAGAGGGTTAAAACAAAAAGCACCTGCAGTCACAAAGGGGTGCTTAATGGAAGTTAGGGGTGCCCATTATCCACTCACTTGGGGACTAAACTGACTAAACACCACCCCGTCTTGTGACTCCAGGAGTTCCGTTTCCTCGCTCGAGACTCGACTCCGTGATCTTCGAGACTCGCCCCCAGGAGATCGTGACACTGGCTCAGGGAGCCGATTCCGAGGGGCTGACGGGGATGTCAGGCAGGAGCGTTGGAGCTGCTTGGGGGGGGGAGTCGGCGTGACGAGGCCAACGCTGCCGGGGGTGGAGGCCATTCCTATTTGGTTGGACATCAAGGCGACTTGGGGGCGATCCATGTTCTTCCCCATCTAGTTCCACGGAGCCGGGCCCCCTTCTGCCCAACCGCGAGGGAAGAAGTTTGGGAGCTTATGGAAGGTTTTAAGACGAGAAGGTGCAGAAGGGCGGGAATTGAAGTGAATTCGAGTAGAGTTTGTTGATGGTGGATTCCGGACTGCCCTTGCAGTTCCAAGATGTTCCAACCCTATGGATCCACATACCGAACCTGAGAAGGTGATTGGAGACTATCTATGTAGGCTTGGAGAGACCAAATACCTTCTGAGAAGGTATGTGGATCCCTAGGGCAAGTGTAGAGCGCTCATGTAACGAGCATCTCTTGTGATGATCTCGAGCATCTCTTGTGAGAACGAGATCGGACGAGTGAGCAGCACAGCTGGGACGAACAACTACCCCAAAGTTGAAAAAGTGTTGGACAAGAAGTTTTTGTATGAATTCATCTACTGAATCTACTGCCACCTTCTGACGTACTGTGATAGGGGACTACATTATAGTAGGCGTTGGGCCGGCTCCAGTCATACCTAACCTGAGAACTATATTCTCTCCGTGGCATCCCCAATGTGCCGCGCGCATGCCGCGCCACCGTTCGCACCGCCGTGCTCCTCCGCGCTCCGTGCCGCGCTCCCTTCGTTTTCAGCGAGGCCTCCGCACCTTGAGGATCATCCGAATCACTCGGCTGGTGAAGATTGCGCGGCTGGCCAGGATCTTGCGCTTCATCATGGCGCTCAGGAGCGGATGGATCTCACGAAGGGTCAACGGTGATGGGTTGGCAGTGATGGGTTGGATAGGGTGGATGTGATTTTTGGATGTGGAGTGTGGAGGCCTCTTCTGCAGCCTCCAAAGCAGGTAATGGAGAGAGCGGAAGAATACACCTTTATACTGCAATCCACTTTGAGAGATTGCTTGAAGGATCTTTGATTGTATATTTTGGGAAGACACTCCATGGAACAATTGATTTGATCCACTGGATTGGCACCTGGAAGGAGCTGGCTTTGAGGCCAGCACAGTGTAAGATTCGGTATGATTAGTAGGTCACCATGATTTCGCACAAGATGCGAACGTTTGGCTCTTGACCCGAAGGGCAATCATCTCCCTAGATGATTGGAGTATATGACGAACGATTGTGGGTGTGGATCAATCGTCATATTGTGTGGATCATTCGTCATATTATGCACATGTTCACAAGTTATGTCGTCTTTTATCGGTGGAAACCCGGTTCTCTCATGCACTCTCACGTTGCTACCACCCCCGTGCTTAGGAACCCCATCCTTAGGCAACTCTCCACGTTGTTCTCCCATGTCTATCTACCGGCTGCCATACCCTACATCCTTTCTCACTTGTCCCAGGACTTTGACACAATCCATCCTTCATACCTTGAAATCGTTGATTTGGGCTATGATTTTATTGGCCTTGATCGTCTACACCTTCGCGGCACCTGGACCTGCAAGCTTCCGTCGATTTGGATCCGTGTTTGGCCCGATTTACCCACCGCGCGTGCCGTGGGGTTGGTCACAAAACCCCAACAGCACCCAGAGCAGCCGAGGTTTGTTGTTTGTAGTGCCCAGACGCTCCGTGAAAACAGCTCGACTGGTCCCGAACCAAAACCCTATAGGGATTGGTGAGAAGGTCCGGACCTTTTCAAAGGAGCTTGGGTCCGGCCCAGGAGGGTCCAGGGTCGCGTCCGCCTGGGTGGTCCAATCCTCCGGGCGTTCCAGACGGCCAGAATCGGCCATTTGGGTTGCAGGTTACCACCCCTTACGTCGTGGTCTTCACCAAGAGATGTCAATGACCTAGAAGGACCCTATAACAATCTATGACCCCTAGGGCTCCAGTCGTACCTGCTGAGAAGATGGTTGGGGTGGGTGCCAGGAGGGTCTAAACACCGAACCTGAGGATAATGGTTGGAGGTGTAGGGGACATACGTTTCGTTGACCAAGTATCGTTTCAGGATCAACGCAGCAACATTGAGAACCAGCCCACACCACGACTCCTGGACGCCCCGGCCCGCTCGGCTTCACTCCAGGTCTTGTTTACGCAGGTGGTGCATGACTTGACCAGCAGCGAGCTGAGAATCGAGTCAAGTCGGTCTGAGATGGACGCCAACGCCGAGCTGAGAAAAGGGGGAGACGAATGGAGACAAGTGCTTGCTAGAGGTAAGAGGGAAGAGGAAGAAGCTGAGAGGGCTCAGAAGTGCCTGTAAACCAGCACACAGTTTGGTTTCAGAATGTTTCAGATGCCACGTCAGTTTGCACATAGCTTACTTCTATATCAGAGTCCCAGATCCTTTGGTTTTTTTTTCACAGCATTTTGCCCGATCAATCTTCGTGAGGTGTGGAACTGGAGAGTGTCACGAGCGAGGAGGAGAGAGCATATCTGGAGCAGGTGCAAATCTATGCTAAGCAGTATTTCAGTACTCTTCCTCAGGCAGGGGCCAGTGTTTGGCCACAAAGGGTCGCTTGGGGACCATCTGGCGGGCGAGGTGCAAGCTGAAAATGACCTTTTAAGCCTTCCAAAGGAGGAAACATCAGGAGGAACCAGGTGAGAAACCAGGTGAGGAACCTGGAGGCCCATTGGATTCGGAAGGAAGCGCGAGGGGTCGTGCATGACATTCACAAACTAAGCCAGCACATGACACCGCTCCGGTGAAAGAAAGGATCAGAAAGGCTAAAAGCAGGTTCCAAAGTTTTGGTTGATGGTGAGGGTGGCAGCTGGTTTAGCATGAGGCATGAGGGTTTGTATTGTTTCAGGCTGGTAGACCCATTGACTGTTAGAGACCTGTCCTCAACTGCCCAATGTCCCGATGGCTTTTTTCACCAACAACATGTTGTGGCCATGGAGATTGCAACACTGGGGACGGTCTCAGGTGAAAGATGCAGCTCAATTCGAGATGGGGCAGTCATTCACACCTGTTACTGAGATTGATGCATGAGATGTGGAGGGAGCGTGTTGCCCCACGGATGAAGGCAACTGCCCTCCCAAACAATCATGGCTGTGGACAACCCCCCTTGGTAGAGGAAGGTACGCTTCCTTTCGTGGCCCATGCCATCCACTTCCACGATTGTTGGACAGGGAGTAATGTAGACTCTTGATTAATACCCCCCATCTGAATTGAAAAACCTCTTCGCATGGGGGTTTATTCATCAAGAATCAAGAGTCTACATTAAATAGTTCACACCTGGGATACACACCTGGAGCTTCTTCCACTCCTGGAGCCTGTGGAGCTTGGAGATTTGGATCCTCAGTTCGAGAAGGAGTGAAGACATGGACAAGCTACAGGATGATATGACTGTCACTTGGAGGTGGTGCTGAAGATTCTTACTTGAAGTTTCTTGAGGCTAGAGCTGGAGTGCGAATGCAAGTGCAGTTCTTGAACACCAACGCGAATTTCGTGAAACGTGGATTGCTGATCCCCACTGGAACAAAACCACGGAGGACGGTGATGTCCCTGTTTGTTGGGAGTCTTGGATGAAAGCGTTGTTGAGACCTGGTCGGTGGTTGTGCCAACATACGTTGCGCGCGGCTGCTTTGCGTCTTGGTGCTCGTATTGTTGTTGTCCGAGGTGGTAAAGAAGATGGCTGGGAGAAACCCATCGCGGTTGGAGAATGTAGAAACTTGCGTGAACCCATTGTTTTGTCCCTTCGGAATGATCACTACCAGGTTCTGCGCGCCAAACCAGGTTGCTCCTTGCCAGCCGAATGGACCAAAGCGGTTTCTGTGTGTCGGATTTCTGACACTGATGTGTTGCGCGGAGCCGGTTCTTCTGAACGTTCTGTCTCGGATTCTTGGCTTCCCCCTGTCCCAGAAGACCACGCTCTTGATGAGTCCGTTTCTGAGTGGTTGCCGGCCCCCCCTCCCCCTTCTGCCTCTGATTGGATGCCGCCGCGTGTGTCTTGTCAGTCTGAAACTTCTTGTGGTGGTACTTCTAGGCAGGTCTCCTTGTCTGGGCTTGAGGGCGTGCGAAGGCGCCTGGTTGGAAAACAGCGTGTTCACGGAACCCGTGACCTTGCTGTGATGTTGGACCACTTGACGTGGACTTGCAACTTGTGCGGTCATACTGCGAGGGCTGAGAAGAAGAATCTGCTGTCTCACAAACGGAGGCATCATTTGGATAGAGCCCACCCCAAGGAGAGATCACTCGCTAATCGCTTCAAACATATGGAGCCGCTTGTGATTGCCAGCGTTGCTCTTCCTGCATCTGAAAGGTCGTGGACTTGTACTGCTTGTCAGGCTGGCCTGCCGTCGCTAAACTCGTACAGATTCAAACGGGCTGTTCGTCATCACTTGAAAGCTTGCTCTGGCATGACTCCTCGGCAGAATCGAGTGCAGTCCATTCAAGAGAAAGACCGCTTGAAACAAATGAGTTTGAAAGCCCGAAAGGTGCATGCTGAAGCGGTGCTCGGTCGCATGAACGAGCTTGTGAAGTTGACTGGTCATGACCTTTGCAGGTCTAAAGACTGGACGGTTAAAACTAAAGGGTTTGCTTTTCTTTGTAAGAAGTGCTGTCGTCATTTTGAAGGCTTGGCGCATTGCTCTCCTGGAAAGCCTTGCAAAGGTCGTAAGGGGAATTGGGAACGCCGCAGGTGGAAATTGTGGCATCGCATGCGCTTGAAGAGCGGTGATGACTTGAAGACTTTTGTCAAGGAGTGTGCGCTGTCCTTGGCTGAGGTTGAACTGCTTGAAAATTCCATGAGCTATCGAATTGGGAAAATTGAGGTCGCCAAACTTCCTCCCTTACAGTCTTGCCAGTGGTGGCGTGATTTGTGCGCTGAGGGCGTTGAGCCCAATCCTGGACCGCGCTCTCTTGGCGTTATTAGCTCCAATGTCAGTTCCTTTGAAACGCATGGTGTGGAGCTTCTCCATCGGGCGGCGCAGATGCGTGTAGGATTGGTGTGCATGCAAGAACTTAACCTTGCACAGGAAGCCATTCCTGGAGCCGGCCAAGCGGCACGGCAAGCGGGGTGGCACTTGACGGCCGTTCCTAGGCCTGCTGGTACTTTGCGAGGAGGTGTTGGTATCCTTTGCAAAGACCCTTGGAGTTGCATTGTTGTCAAATCGTTTCACAGCTCTGATGCTCAGCTTCTGATGGTTACTGCTGGGGCCCCTGGTTGTGAAATGTTGACGGTGATCACAGGTTATCGACGTCCCAAGTCAACCTTTGAGATCTTTGGTGTTCTTAATGATTGGTTGGCGGAGATTCCGCATAAGCCGTGGATTCTCACTGGAGATTGGAACGTCGACGTTTCTTCGTCTAGGTTTGCCGATGTCTTCCTGGCATGGCATGGTACACTGGTTTCGTCTGGTCTTCACCAAAAGGGAAGCCACGCTATTGATGCAATTGTTGCAAGTTCGGCGCTCCACCCTCACTGTGAAGCTGCCGAAAACTTCAAATATGGCTCCGATCATGACGCGTTACTTGTCGGCCTGTGGAGATCAAAATTGCAGCCTTGTCTCCCTGAGATGCGCTTTGCTAGGCATAGAGCTAAGAGAGAACCTGTTGGCCCCTTCTCGGAGCTTGTTTCCTGGTCTTCTGTTTCGGTCGATCATCAACACTGGCAACAGCTTGTGCGAGCCGGCTCCATCAATGAACTGTGGAAATGTTGGAATCTGGCGGCTGAACGATATTTAACCTTGAACCAGGTTTTGTCCGATCACCAAGGTGAAGTTTGTTTGGGCAGCTCTCCGCAAATTCGGCTGGGTGGTTCTTCTAAGGGCGTTGGGCAGGCAATTCGCGAACGCCAGGCACGGCGAGTGTACAGACGAGCTTGTGAAGCTCATTTTCAGGCGACACGTGGGCAGGTCAATCCGCGACTCGTGCAGTCTCTGGTCCGGTCATTTCCTGTTGGTGTGGAGCTTATTCAGCAAGAGGATTGGCCAGGCTTAGAATCTTTGGCAAAAAAGGACCTCACGCAGGTGATCCAAGACAAGCAGAAGGATCTGGCGCGCCGCTGGAAGGCGCAGGTATCTTCACTGGCTGGCGCCTGTGCCTGGGTTAAGAAGACTTCGCCCCCACCTCCTGTGCTTCAGCAGGCGGATGGCACTTTAGTTTTCGGTAAGCAGTCTGGCGTTGAAGCTCTTTTTCAGGATTGGCAACCGATTTTTTGTGGTGACCCCGATGAGACCTTGGCGGTTGACAAATATCGTAGGTTGTATGACCCTTTCATCCTGCAAAGTGATGGTTTTTCAGTGCCGGAACTTGATGTGGCTGACTTGCGCAAGGCTGCTCAGAAAGCTCAGAAGACGGCTGCTGGCTGTGACGGCTGGAGTGCTGCTTTGTTGCTTGTTCTCCCAAACCAAGCCTGGTTGCAGCTTGTTGACATTCTCACACGATGTGAGACAGATGCCGTGTGGCCGGATGGCATGTTGGCGTGGAGAGTAGTGTACCTCCCCAAGGAGGTGAAGTCAGGTGCAACGTCGACCATGAAAGTGCGTCCGATTGCCATCGGCCCTGCGCTCTACCGGCTGTGGTCCAGCGTGAGGGCGCATCAACTAGGTCAGGCTTTGCAATCAAAATTTAGCAGTAGACATGCGGGTGGTACGGGTGGGGTTAACCCTCAGGTTTTGCTTCTCGATATGCAAGTGAAACAGCAGTGTGAAGGCCATGACACTGGAGTGTCCCTTGACTTCGAAAAGGCTTTTGATAAGAGCAGTTGGCCGGTGTCGATTTGGATCCTTGAGCAGTGGGGTGCCCCTGTCTCGGTTCTCAATGCGTTGCGAGCCCAGTGGCGTTCTCGCTATAAGTTTCTCTCCTTCGACGGCGCGGTGCACCCGTGTCCTGTGAGGAACGCGACTGGAATTCCGCAGGGCGATCCGTTTAGTCCTTTGGCTTTAGCATGTTTTTTGGCCGCTCCTTTCGCCAAATTGTGCGATCAAGTTCCCGGCTCACATTATTTGTATGCCGACGGTCGGACTTCCTTGGTGCACAGGCAGCATGTGCAGGGCGTTCTTGACTCCTGGCTTGAACTTGAAAGCGTCTCACGTATGCGAGGCAATGCTGCTAAGACGCAAGTTTGGTCACTAAACGACCCAAATGAGTCTGGTATTGTTTTGGGTTCAGTCTTGTGTGGTGGCGATGCGATGCATGAAAAGGAATTGGAGCGTATTGAGGCAGTCAACAAACTTGCTTCTCGCATCAGTTTGCTGCCGTCTTCCATTGCTGTTCGCGCCGATGTGGCGGCTTCAATGATGTCCAATAAAGCGGTTTGGAACCAGCTCATCACTGGTCGCATGACGCATGAGCCGTCAGCTTGGCGTGTGTTGTTTCGAAAAGCTTGCATGGGTGGCCAACATGGTCGCGCTTCTCGGAATCTTGAACTCCTGGCTCGTTGGGGGCACCGTGGCGATCTCTCGTTCCTTGCCACTCAAAGGGTCTTAGCAACCTTGTGCTCCTGGTGGGAGCGTTTTGGGATTGAGATGATGTTTCCTCTCCCTGATTTGAGAATTTTGCGTAAAGTCAATGTTGAGATGAGACGTTGGTGCTGGACTCCTCGCCAGTGGGGCGTGTGGGAGCACGCGTCCGGGGTTCGTTTGGACATCCGGTCTCAACCGACCCAATTTGGGAAAATGCTTCACGATTTCCGCGAGTCTTGGCGGTCTTGGCAGTTTAACAGTTGGTTGCAAAATCGACAACGACGTGATTCTGCTATTGGCCGTGAGCTGAATTTGCAGTACTCCGAGCATATAGGGTCATTGCTCAAAGGGCTTGTCAAACGGGTGTCCGGGGAGGCGGCGGCCGTTTTAGTGGGGGGCATGTCCACTCCTGCTACTGTCCATGCTGCTGTCCGTCCTCAGCATTGTCCATATTGCCATGAGCCCGTGGTCCCTTCCATCGATCATGTGCTGTGGGTCTGCCGGCTTTTCGCTGCGCTGCGGGTGCTACCGCGTCCGGTTTCCGACTTTACTGCACGTTTAGGGTGGGGCCCTGGGATGACTCTCGACTCTTGTTTGGACCTTCTTCAACAAATGGGAAACATCCGACACGAAGAGCACACGTTACGGCGTAGAACCCTGCAGGCAGCTTGTACTCTCCCTGAGGACTCTGCCTAGCGAGTGGCTTTGCGTGTCCTTAACCCGCGACAGGTTGGGACACTCGCAGCGCTACCCCCCCCCCCGCTGATTGCTCAGAATGGCCACTTGGAAGTTGTGCAGTTGTCGCTCAAGGTTGGTGCTGATGAAAATGCCACAGACGCAGATGGGACAGCCGACTCCACGGCTTTTGTGCCGAATGGCCATGCAGCATTGGTGCCATTGCTGCGGTACTCGTAGCTGCTCCGTCTCAGCAACTGCCCAAGGGCTCCGTCCGTGCTCGCCAGACACGAAGAAACACGATGTTGGGAAAATGGGCCCCTTGCATCGCATGTGTCTTCAGTATTTGGTGCTTATGGCGGGCTTGTTGCAGGGTGGTGTCAGTGCCAGGCTCAGATCCCCTAAATTCAAGAATGAGTCTCTATACATGAACATCGGATGGGTATGAAAAGGTTGCAAGGTCCTTGGACACTGAAGTTCACCAAGCCTCGGACTATCTCGGACTTCTTTAGGGTTTGCAAGGGGTTTTGTCAGGAATCGCGTTCATGATGCTACATTGCTACATCAAATTCTAGAATGTCCGGCGGGCGGTGTTTGTTGCCATGTTTGTGGAACATGACAAATGTGCATTCCAGAAAGTAAGTTTTGGGGAGAGATTTGAGGGCATCGTCGAACAGCGATAATTTTTAGGCTGCTGGTGGTTTTGGATTTGCAAATTCTGGTTCAAAAATGTTCAAATCAGTCAGTCATGCATGTATATACAGCTCCATTTTAACGGCTAGGTCAAAGCTGAACTGTGCCATAAAAAGAAGACCCGGTCAGACCATCTAAACTCCGGTGAGGCCATGCTCACTTTGTACATGAGCATCGCGAATGGCGTGAGTTGGGAGCAAGTGTTGGTCCCCCTACACGCGGCATCTTGTCCAGACCGGACCACGAATCCGGAAGCCCAAATGCGGACTGGACTGACTGGACCTATTAAACCTTAAGAACAACTCATTAATGCATTCCAGTCCCATGGATTGTCGGGTTTTTTCAGAGGTAATTTATGTATTTATATAGATAAATAGTCCAGTCCCATGGATTGTTGGGTTTTTTGAGGGGGTCCGATTTGATGAGGCATTGGGTTCAGACATTGGAAAGAGATGGATGCAAGACCTGCTGACAAAAAGGGGGTGATTGGATGCAGATTGCTCAGCAGAGTGAAGCGTGCTTGATTCAAGGTAGAGTGTCGTTGTGGCGCTTTTGAGCGTGGAGCAAACGTGATCACACATTGAATCATTGGCATCAGGTGGATCAAGTTGCTTCGCTTGATGCCATTTTCCCCCTGCAGGAGTTACTGTAAGGCTCAGGTATGTGTGGGTAGCCTTCCAACTTCTGGACAAGACATGTACAAAGTCATGCACAACCAAATGCACCACATGCAGCGATTCATACAAGTGTGGCAGTTTACCTGTGTTGTTGGGTGATTAGAAGTTCAAGATGTTCTACCTTGGCTTGCTGCTCATCCCATGAATTGCAGGCTCCAGAAAAGAGCTACAAAAGATCGTCATGGCAACTTAGGTGTCAAGACCCTCATCGCCCCTTTGTTTGAACCTCCAGCATGTTCGCACCGATATGGGACATGTTTTTTGGCTTCTTCATGTGTCTTTGAATGTCTTTGGTGAGGCTCAGGTCACCCTAGCTGGTGTGGTGCTCCAGCAGGTGAAAAAAACGGGGATCGACTTCGCACCGCACTTCAGCTGAGGTGCACTGGATTTGGGAATGTGTCTTTGTGTTCTATATCGCTTTCGCCACCCTGGCGGTTCTGAACGCCACTTGGACAGCTGGCACCCTGAACGCGACGGACGCTCCTCTCCGATCGCCAAAGAGGTTGCTTAATGTATATACCCTGATGTTCATGAGAAACACATCGATCACCTGCAAACGTGCACGTTCGACCAAGACTCATTGTCTTGCCATGTTCTCCTTGTGACTTTCAAATCTATTACTACCCGCTGACTTGCGCTGTCTGATCGGGGCTGCCGCGCAGCTAAGCTGCTATCATTCTTGAGGTGATTACCGGTGTTTTCTGCATCTTGCCTGCAACTCGAGAGAGGTCCTCGTCGCGCTTGTTTTCTGGAAGTGGCAACAAACCCTGCAACTCTCCCGTCCTAGCTCCTGTGAAGGGTTTTGGGAGGTTTTTGGAGGGTCCAAGCATCTTGAGAAACAGAGGCTGTCAGGGCCGGTCATGGCTCTCATGGCTCTAAAGCGGCTGCTTTGACTGTTCGCCGCTCGCGCGTAGTTCGCACCACCTCGTTCATGACCCAAGGTCAAAGTGCGATTGATAGCGCCCAGAGTGATCATGAGATGGTGATTCAGTCGATCTTAAACAACAAGGACCGCAAGAAACCTCCCAAGATGAACTAAGTAAAGGCCTTGTCATATGGAACTTGGGCGTAAGCAAAAACCTGAAGAGCGTAAGGTTGCGTAAGGGAGCTGTGAGACATGCATGTTGCGTAAGCTTGCCATATGGTTGTGTTTTCATTAGTAGGTTCTTAGCACACACTTGTCAAAAAAGGAACTGTATGGACCATGAGAGCTTTGAAACCCTTGGGAACTGACATTTGTGCGCACTGTGTTTCAGGTGTGTGCACTGTGCTTGTTTGTGTTTGCCACTCTGTATCAAACCTTTCTCAAGTCAGCCCCATCATAACATGTCATAACATGCCAGGCTCCGTTTGGTGGCGTAAGGTTCGCGTAAGCTCCGCGTAAGGTTCGCGTAAGCCAACTTTTCATTTGCCTACATCAGCCAGTAAGTAGATGCTAGTGATCCTTTGCTTCCTCTGCTTCGGAGTCTTAGTGATCATGTGTTTGTCGCCCGCTCACCTGCAAACAGGAGACTTCGCGTAAGCATTTCCCTTGGGAGTATGGTTCTCATCTGTGAAAAATACAGAAGCGTAAGATCTGCGTAAGGTCTTCTTCAACATCCGTGGCGCGTAAGCTCACATTGTGGCTATATTGATGGTGTTCTGCATGTAGAGCACAAACAGCCGCCGTTTTGACCCGCTGTTTCTTGCCGGGCTCCTGGTTCGCAAGTCCGATGTTTTTTTCGGCTTCGGCGCCGTTCGGTTCGCCTTCCCCATAGGACGCCCACATCGAAAAGATCCGAATGCTCTTCTCGGAGATCGATGAAGATTCCAGCGGGGTCATCACGTGCCGTTCCCAAAGCGAAACGAGCTGAACACCGGGATGGGGATGGTGTACCTGTGTTGAACAGCTGATGAGTTCGCAATGTTTAAAAGACACTTGGATTTCAACACTCCTCTCCAGCTGGGTTTCAGCTTGATTCTTGAGGGTGATGACAGGCAGGCCACAGCATTGAAGCTTTCCTTGCTACCCTTGATGCAAGTGGAGCCTGACCAATAAGCCAATAAGATCCCCCCCATCTCCAGAATAGCTGTACATTTTCATATATGAGGGTCTTATTAATTAACTAACCAAACGTCCACAACAGCCTACCAGTGCCCTCACTGCCAGGTCTTTAGTTGGAAAGAAAGCAGGTCCCAAGTGGTGATCTGTAGAGTGAGTCGGGTCCTGGTACAGTACATGATTGTGCTTCATCTAAAGCTCCTTCACGTTGTGTTTGGATTTTCATCTCCCCTACGACTCCTGTCCCATCTCCTCAGGTGACCGTGGGATTCGACCCTCCTGACACTCCAACCAGGTAACCACCTTCTCCTCAGGAGGTGGGCCAGGAGCCCTAGAGATCATCTATTTCGCGTGAAACCACCCCTTGGGATCCGTTTTCGTACCGAACCTGAACGACTGGGCCCGACGTTTTGGCACCTACATGTCTCAGTGTCGAACACATCACCGTACCTCAGGTTCGGTACGAAAACAGATCCCGATCGGGCACCAGCTGAGGTACCAGATGTTCGAGAGAGGCATCCGATCGGAGGAGGTCAAGACTCTTGGCGTGGACAGGGTGGACATTTCTCGGCCTGGACGGGTTGGACAGCAACTTCTGCTCCCAGACGCGACCTGTCTGGGACTGGAATATATGCCGAGAAACGGCCAGGGGTGTTCGCCAGGAGGGCCAATGGACTGGCCAATTGGTCGGCATATATGGCAGCTGCATGGAGTGTATGGGTTTGTTCATGGCGTGCCGACTTCACAGATTGGCCAAGACGGCGGTGTTTCCCAAGAATCAACACGCACTGCGCACGAAACTAGACGCATACTATGGCACTCTTGACCAGTTAGGGGGAGTAAACTGAACAAATCGCCTCCCCCCTGTTGATTCCACTCTGAGGACTTACTTTGAATCGATTGACTTGGATGTCTGGGATGTGTGGACCTTCTTCAAGTGTCTCGGACACCCTCGACACCGGTGACCCACACGATGCGTGTGGAGCCGGTCACCGGTGACCGAACCGACGCGGTCGTTCGGCGATGCGTGTGGAGGGATGGTCGTACCTTGAACGAGCTCAGGATCCCGTTCGGGCTCCAGTCGTACCTTCGTTTCGGGTCGATGTTTAGTGTGGTGGGTGCCAGCGTCCAGAGACGAGAGGAGGTACGACAGCCGTAGGGGAAGACACCGACACGGTGCACCAAGAGAGGGAAACTGAGACACCGGCGCATTCGTTTGTGAAGTGTGGGGGCATTCTTACACACCGGCAGCTTCTGCTTTCCCGTCGGATCCCGAACTTCAACGGGTGCAACCCTGAAGAACCAGCCGTTTTTGTCGGCATGCTGTTTGCATTGCCGTTTCTCTTGCCACTGGAACATGGCTGCCATAATTGAGATGCAATTATAACATATAACAGCACCAGGTTAATACCATGGTCAGGTTAATATATCAGCACCCGACTTCACAGGTCACCACCTGCGAGAACTGAGCCAGCCTGCAAGAGCCAAAACGACAAGACCTGTAGAGTCGGGTCCTGGTATCCCAGCATCGCCCCAGGGCGAGCCTTTCCCCTTGGACCCACGTGTTGGTATGAAAAAGCACTGAGGCTTCTTGACATGGATTCCGGCGGTGCAGTCGAAATTGAAGAATTTTTGATGGGATGTTTGAGATTGCGCGGAAATGCCGCGGCCTCAGCACTGAATCTGTTTTTGTGTGCTTCTTGTGGGTCAATGGTGGGAAATATTTTGGCGATTGGATCCACATGGCCCCGAAAGCAAATGAACCGCCGGTATCCTATTTGTAATGTGTACATGTCCAAGGCATCATCCGTCTGTCAACGTCACCTTCAATCCGGTGACTGAGGGTTGTGTGACAATTCTTGAGCGATGCCCCTGTCATGAGGCTTCGGTTGCTTGTTGGGTGTCAAAGCCGTTGCAACCCAAACCTCATCATTTGTAGGCATGGTTTTGCATATGAGGAAGGAGGAAGGGGAAGACGCACTTTCAACGCATACCTATAGTCATACCTGGCACCAAGTCTGGCACCACATGTTTTGTACTGCATCGCGAGTTGGATTGCATGAATCACAGTGGAATTATTAATATATTCATATGTATTAATGTACACACACATATATATATATATATTTATATTGCCCCAATATAGCCTAAGGCGAAGGCCATGGACATTGCCAAGCTTTGCCATGATCAATCTTGGCTCATCCGAGAGCAGGCCAGCTGCCCAGAGCTCCCAGACACCCCCAGTTCTGGCCGCGGGTCTTCTTGTGAGTCTTGTTGGGTCACTCGAGAGTCTCTTTTGACGGGGCGTTGACTTGGATTGTTCACTCCAAAAAATCACACATCCCAACGATTTGCTCACAACATCAACCAATAGTCACAATTCTGCGTTTACCCCCTCAGTCTTTCCATGCAGCTTCCCAGTTTGATTTGTAGTCAGAATCTTTCAGAAGTCCGTGCAAGACGGCTGAGGATATCTGAGGATCCTACGTTCCGAATCGGCGATCCAAAAAGCCTCCGATCTAACACTGATTCTTCAACATTCTTCATTTTCCAAGAATCGATGCACCTTTCGATGCACTCACCAGGAACATCGCTGCTTCGGTCCGTTGACCGACCTCGGTCCCCAATTAGGTCCCAAACTCGGACGACTCGCATTGGTGGCTGTTTTTGAGGCTCGCTTTTGGGAGTTTGTGGAGAATGAGCTGAATGACATGCATATGATGGTTGCCTCTTGGGAGAATTTCATGACACACTCCCGGAAAACCCATTCATCCTATGTGTGGAAGAATGGGTTCGAACAGTACCAGCACCGGACTTGGGTCAGTGCTTTCGGACTTCATGGCCATCCACTTCCATCATGATTTCAAGGCCAATGGGAGTGCACATGAGGCCACAAGGATCACCTAGGCATGGAGGTACACGCCCGTTTGGCCTCCATCGTACGTACGCTTCGGTTCGTTGGGACTGGGCTGGGTGGGTGCCATTTTCGGGTCGAAGACCACCGAAGCTGAGGAGGCACGACTGGAGGTGTAGGGATGTAGATTTGGGTGCTTTTTTTGGACACCTGGTTGAGCCTGGTTGTGGCTTCAAAGCACTGGCAGACATACTCAGAGAGACTTCCAATCTTCTGTACCTGGATGCACGCAGATTGCTGTGATGCGCCGTGTTTTCCTGTTGGATTGTTGAAATCCAACAGTTCATGGCAGAGAGATGTATGTGGAAAAAAGGGTCAATCACACATGCACATGATTGGAGGCTTGGCATGGGGCGAATCGAAGTGTCGGAGAACAGGGGAATGGCATAGTGCTTGGCACGCCCTACCTGTCCGTATTGCCCGCCAACGTGTTGGCGATTCTTAGATGTTCCTGCATCTGGGGGTTTCAGATGCACAGAGCCGCCATGAAACTCAGGTATTTTACCAGTGGATTGAGAGGACCAATGGCACAATCACCAAGTTAGGTGGTTTATATGGATCTCCATTTGTCCAAGACATCTTGGGATATCTTGGGCTTTGTGCCATCTACTCTGAAACCACCGTATCCCAGCATCTTCCGAAACCTTAAGATACTTTGATGGTACTCAGATCTCACTGTGAACATCAGCACTGTCGACAGAACAACATCAGCATCTTCCGTACCTGGTCCGTGATCCAACGGGCCGCGGGTGTGGAAAAAGGCAGCTGAATGAGCTCAGCGCTCCGAGGCCCGGAGATTGCCCTGAGCAGCGCGGTCGGCGTAGCCAGCGAACCCCGTGGGCCCGGAGGTGGCATGAGAACCAAAGAGAGAGAGAGAGAGAGAGTGGTTACACTAAGGACCAGCTGAAGGATGTGTTTTTTTTATTACGGATTTCAATGTTCACATGTTACAGCTATTGCTTCAGTACGTTCCTCAATAGCAGCAGCTGCATAACAAACTGGAAACAACAAATCAAAACAACAGGCAAAAAGACAAACAAACAAACCAAGCAGTCAACAAGAAACAACAACAGACACAACAATGTTTGCCAAACAAGACTAGCTTTGACCCTGGCACCCAAAACAAAACGCAGGCAACAAATGCTTCTTGGGAACATGTCATGAGTAGGAAATGTAGGGAAATGTGAGAATGGCGAGCCAGAAACCATCAGATTGCGGAATCCAAACAGTGTAGCTTGCACATTCGAGATAGAACTGTCCCATACTTTCCCTGTATGGATCCACATACCTGCCAAGAAGGTGATGTGTTCGACACTTCTATGCAGGTGCCAGGAGGGTCCAAAACCCTCTAAGGAGGTAATTACTTGGATCCCTCGGATTTTACCAGCTGCCTATCTCGACTCGGGCGAACGGGACCGCTGTTAGCCACGAAGACACTGCCGGTGGGGCAGAGGTTTCTGGCGGCATAGGACAGGGCGAGGTTTGAAAGCTGTTGGCGCTAAATGTGATGCTATGCAATGGTTTGGCTGAACACGTCCAGTCCGACCCAGTCTCCTGGTCCTGAGTTTACCATTGAGTGGTGTTAGAATACTTTTTTTTAATATGACCAACTCCAGTATTTTTAATGTGGTCAAACGGTCAAACGAAAACGGTCAAACGACTTGTCGGGTTTATATAGACGTGTTGGGGTCAGGGCGAGAGATAACAGAGCATACAGTATAACGGTATATCCTGGATTCAGCACTCGTTACAAGCCAAATCTTGGTTTGTAAGTATACACATGTAAAGCTGGTGGTCAACATTGAATTGATCATGGTGTTTCTCGTGATCAATTCAGCATGACAGACAGACATAGGCTAACATAGGCCCTTTACAGACACTTGCGCTCTGCAGCTCTTCATTTGTGATCTTTTGGGCGAATCAAGCCGCAGAAAGGGACCCGCTCGGCAGATGAACCCGGGACGCCGTTTCACCGGTCGTTCTTTTTTTTCAGTCCTGACGGAGGATTTGGGACTTGACTTCACCATTATTCCGAAGCGCTTCGCCGCTGCCGGGCTAAAGTGCTCGAAATTCGGGGACCGAATTTCGGTATCTCAGGAGAGCGGATATGTCCTCGTCGGCCCCGAAGTAGGATCATCCCACGTTTGAACAAAGACCCCCTACTAGGGATCCACACACTTTCTCAGATTCTCAGAAGGTACTTGGACCCTCCAAGGCTACATAGATATAATATAGCGACGGCCCGAAACTAAGAATGACTTTTGTGCCATTCCATTTGGAAAAACAACCATCCTCAGAATCATTGTTGGTACATGTTGGCTATAAAACACCGCTCCTGTGCAGGAAAACAGGCATAGGATGCCCCAAAAGTGGCGCATTCTAAGTTCTAGGGGTACTTTGAGAAAAGTGAACAACACAACCCCAAACAACTTACTGTAGAAGCGGTGCAAATTTTACAAAATTTTGGCATGCAACATGTTTCTAACAACGAATCATATGCAAAAAAGTGCAACGGTGGCTTTTGATTTTGGAATGTCTCTGGGCAAATTTGCATTTTTTGCAACAACAGTGGGCAAACTTAGAATCACCGATCAGTGGCTACAATTGAGAGTTGTTGCTTAGCCACAGCCTGTGTGGAAGAAAAGCCATATTTTCTGATTTTGGAATGAAAAAAGTTTGACTTGAAATAGTAGTGTTTTGAGCTGGTTCCTTTTATTTCCCTTAGTATTGGTCGATGTTTGAAGGGCAAAGAAAGGAACCCGAAAGGAACATGAAGACAACATGGAGGAAAATCAAAGGAAATTAATCCAACTCTTTGTTTATCTAAAATCACACTTTTTCATGTTTTTTCTCTCTTACATCATTGTTTTTGACAATGTTTGAAAGACAATTGATGAAATGAAAAGAACAATAAAGCAAATGAAATGCACATGAAAGGAACATGAACAGAATAGAGGCACATGGACAGACAATGCAGGAAATTCAAGTAAATCATGTGTTTTGCACTCTTAATCTTTTTAGCGTTTATAGAACACGTTTTGTTGTTCATTCCTAAATAACTCGTTTGTCATCCTTTTTGGAAAAAACATAAATGAACAGACCATGAAGGAAAACTAAATTGAAGTGACAAGGATAATGAAGGAAAACTAAAATTCAAGGACATCGCTCTATTTGCCAGCATGGAGACAGTGTGATACTGCATGGCCTCGGCCTTCCTTTGGCGAGCCTTTTCAGATGCAGGGTTTTTGTATATACATATAGCGATGGCGCCATATAGCGATATACGCATGGGAATTCAAAACAGCCTGTAAACTTAGAAGGTGCATTGCAAGACTCCCCATTCTAAATTTATTTGTTGTTTTGAAGTGCCGATTTTCATACCTTCTAAGTTTCAGGCCGTCGCTATAAATAGTCAATATAATTAGTCTCCAATGACTAATCACCTTCTCAGAAGGTATGTGGATCCATAGGGGCCGAACACTACAGACTCGGGTTCTGGCATTTGACTCTGAACTAATGTGATGAACGGAGGAATCATGTTTGAGACCACCGGGGCACATGGAAAGGCACCTTCAACTTCATCGGCTCAGTCGGCTGGGCAGGTTCCGCTCAGTAACGCCTCGCGAAGTGTGCGGCGGTTTGCATCCGCCGAACGCAGAAGCGACGAGCAACCGAACGGGTGGCCACTTGTTGCCCAGTCGGCTGGTGCACCGTGTTGGCTCCATCGCTGGCACTTCGAAAGGCCCCAGACATGGCCGCTGCTGCGCAGTTGGTTGGAGCTAAAATTGGATCGGCTTCAAATTCTGCGATGCCGGTGGAGATGAAGACTCTGAGGGTGTAAACTGTGAAGCAGAACTCAAACATTTTTCCACATTGACAAGGTGGACTGGAAGGTTTTTGGAATAATATGATGGATTTGGCACCATTTGAGATATACCAATTGGTTCTTGACTTGTTGGTTGTCCCCTTTTAGGCAACCAATGATACAAGATCTATAGCATTCTAAAGAACCCAGGATTCATGGGCCAACCCATGGGTTCATGTTTGCAAGTGCCAGGTTTTGCCCACACGTCCCAGACCGAGTCTGCGGGATTCACTTAATGATGTTGAATCACGCCGAGGTGTTCGGATTGTTTCAGAGAACACCTGAGGAAAAAGACGCGCAGTCTGGTGGGCCAGGTGGTGGAGGGCCACATCGATGCCATGAAGTCCAGTGTTGACAGTCCATCCTTCTCACCCGGAGTCGGCCGAGTGCACCCGAGCAGTCAGAGCAGATCGGCCTCACTTCCAAGCTATCTCAAGGGGCAACTCGATCACCCGACCAGATCCGACCGGCGGGCCCGCGCCCTTTGGGGCGCGCCAAATGGGCACTTAGAGACTCATGTTGCTACTAGCGATGAGGCTAGTAGCTTCTTGTTACTACTAGTAAGGCACTTGTTACTAGAAGCGATGCACTTGTTCCTAGTAGCTTCTTGTTGCTAGTAGCTTACTTCTCCCAGTAGTATGGCCAGCCCCTAGTAGCTGTCTTGTTACTAGAGAAGTCGAAGTCCCAGACGCTCCATCACGCCATGTTTGCCAATCAGGGGTGGTCGCATCTATGGCAGTCCCGGTTGAGTCGTGTTTGGGGCTGGAAGACTTCGGACCATTTTGGAGGGAATCCACCACCCCATTCACCCACCCTCAGCTATCAGGGCCCCCCTGCTCCAGGCAGGCACGAGCTTGAGCTCCACCGGCGTGGTGGGCTCGGGGGGCGCTGGAGGGCTGCAGAACCTGATCCGAGCCTATCAGGCCAGGTCCCTGTGAGCGCTTGTGGGGGAGGGCGGAAGAATGGTGGTTGAGTGTTCTATAGTTGATTAATGATATATATATATATATATATGAAATCGTAAAAAATCATTGTTGGTCAGCGGAGGAAAGACAATGACATATTGCTCGATCTTCCTTTTTATTTGCAAATTGTATGTTTGGTTTCATGCCTATACATTGAGTCCGGCCACCCCCCTGTAACTCTGCAAAAAGGTTTCTTTATTAAGACAACCAGCGAAAATTAGCACCAGGAAATCCTAGATAATTCATCGTTACCTGGGGCCTCTCCAAATGGATTTTGAATATGCTAACCCCTCCACTCCTCTCCTGCCCCTCCTGCCCTTTCTTCCCCTTCTTCCCCTCCACTCTCTTCTCCTTTCCTCTCCTCTCCTCTCCTCCTCTCCTCTCCTCTGTTCTCCTTCCCTCCTCTGCCCTCTCCACCACCACCAGCACCAGCACCACACCAGCACCAGCACCACAGCAGCCATCACCACCACCACCACCACCAGCACCCCCAGCACCAAACAGCAGCCCCAGCAGCGGCCACCACCACCAGCCCCAGCAGCCGCCACCAGCAGCAGCAGCAGCAGCAGCGCCACCAGCACCACCACCAGCACCACCAGCACCAGCGCCAACAACCCAGCACCCAGCCCCAGCCCCAGCCAGCCCCAGCCAGCCGCAGCACCAGACCAACACCAGCCCCAGCCGCCACAGTCTACATGTTCATTGCTGGATTTGACATATCTATATAATATTTTCATGTGACAATCTAGCACACCAATCACTAGAAGCAACGGTTCGAAAAGACCGGCCGCGGAACAGAAGTGGAGGTCACGATTCCAACCTCCTGTTGCTTGCAGGTTAGACAGAGGCCAAGACGAAACCAAATCTTCACAAAACCCTATAAACCCTAAGCCCTAAACCCTAACAGCTGCTTGGCCGACGAAATGGGCCACCAGATTTGACGACATTTAGCACCAGAAAAAGCACAATTGGAAGCACAAAAACAGGCACCAGATTTGACGAAATTTAGTACCAGAAAAAGCACAATTGGAAACACAAAAAAGAGCACCAGATTTGACGAAATTTAGCACCGGAAAAAGCACCAGGAAAGCGCCAGAAACTGCACAGGCGGCCACGACAAAGTCAAACGCTGCTGAGGCCAAGTGCTCCGAGCGATCTGCTTTTGGCTCGCAGGTTCATTCTGGACGCGCGAAATTTAGCACCAGATTTGACGAAATTTAGCACCAGAAAAAGCACAACTGGAAGC